CTCCTGTACGTTTTGTTTCTCTATTTATTTAGTATTACTGGGGATTGAACCCAGGGGTTTTCTACCACAGAGGTACACCCCAGGCCCTTTTTATCTTTTGGTGGTACTGGGGATTGATCCCAGGGCCTTGCGCATGTGAGGCAAACACTCTACCAACTGAGCTCTATCCCCAGGTGCCCCCAGCCCTTTTTAATTCTCATTTTGAGATTGGGTCCCACTAAGTCACTAAGGCTGGCCTTGAGCTTATGATCCCCCTGCCTCCGCCTCCTGGGTAGCTGAGATTAAAGCGTGCATCACTGCACCTAGCATCCTCCTGTTTATTTTCAATCAGCTCTGGATGAAGAATAATATCCAATACGACGTAAATGCTGTGTAAACAGTTGTTATACTGTATTGTTTAGGGAATTATGATGAGAAATTCTGTACATGTTCAGTTCAGATGGAATTTTTTAGTGCAAGAATATTCATAACAGCTTTTTTTTTTATAATACACACAAACTGGGGAGAGGGGAACCAATGAATATCTATCAAACAGTTATTCATGGAATACTACCAGCTTGAAAAAGGAGCAAAGTTTTGATACACATAACAAAATGGATGAACATCAAAATGGTAGTAGCCACACCTGTAATCCCAGCAACTCAGGAGGCTGAGGCAGGAGAATTGCCAATTCAAGGCCAGCCTCAGCAACTGAGCAAGGGCCTGAGCAACTCAATGAGACCCTGTCTCAAAATAAAAAATGTGCTGGAGATACATCTCAGTGTTAAAAGCACTGAATTCAATCCCCAGTATCAAAAAAAAAAAAAAAAGTCTGTATAGTAAAGGTTTTATATGTACTTTGTGATCCCATTTATATGGAAAACTATTCTATGGTAGAAAAAAAATCAGAGCATTGTTTGCCAGGGTGAGTGAGGTATGAGGGAACTTTCTAGACTGATAGTAACAGTCTTTTCAGATAGAATTTTGATGCAGTTTTTCCCCAAATATTTTTAACCAGATGTTAGCTGAAACTTCAGAAGCAGAACCTGTGGACAGAGGGCCAACTATATTCCATTTGAAAAACAAGACACCATTTGTTGATCTGTTCTCCTGCTAATGAACAGTGGGGTATTTCCAGACCTGTGGAGCTATGACTTTTTTTTTTCCCCCTTTGGTACTGGGGAATGAACCCAGGGATGCTTAACCACTGAGCCACATCCCCAGTCCTTTTTTATTTTTTATCTTAAGACAGATTCTTGCTAAATTGCCAAGGCAGGTTTCAAATTTGCGATCCCTTCCTCAGCCTCCCAAGTTGCTAGGATTACAGCGTGTGTGGCAACACTTGGCATGAATTTATGTTCTGTGAACGTTCTTGCACAAGTCTTTGTGTAGACTTAAGTGGCTCATTTCTCTAGGGTAAATACCTAGAAGTGGCAATTCTAGGTCATAGCATACATGCATGTGTAGATTTAGTAGACTGACAGTTTTGTGCAGGAGTTGAACCAACTTTCTCTGCCACCAGCAACGTGTTGATGAACTGCAAATTGCTCCAGATCCTTGCCAGTGCTTAGCTTCCCCTCTTCTTTTTTGTGGGGGAGGGGGGGTACCAGGGATTGAACTCGGAGGCACTCAACCACTGAGCCCTATCCCCAGCCCTATTTTGTATTTTATTTAGAGACAGGGTCTGAGTTGCTTAGCACCTTGCTTTTGCTAAGGCTGGCTTTGAAATTGCAATCTTCCTGCCTCAGCCTCCAGAGCCACTGGGATTACATGCATGCGCCCCAGTGCCCGGCTCCCCTCTTTTTGTTCCTCACAAGATAAAATGCAAATCCATTGTGCGGCACTACCTGCCTTACTCCTTATACTCCCTGTGTTCCTTCCTTCCCACCTTCTTGTCTGGAACAAGTTGTTCCTTCTATCTAGAAAAATTTCCCTTTCTCTCTTGGCCAGCACTGATCATTCTTGGTCTCTTGGCTTAAATGCCATCTTCCCAAGGAGGCTCAGTCTTCATCCCCCACCCTACATTAGGACCCTATTCACTTTCACCACACTCTGCTTTTCCTTACATCACTTCCCCTGGTGTATAATTATGTACTGATTTGATTAAACTTATCGGTATATAGTGATTATTTGTGTTTCCTCCCCCACCCCTGCCCCAACACTCTCACCCATTACACTGGCAGCACACAGAGGTCAGGCCCAGAGCCCTGGTACTCTCTACACCTCTTTGCCTTTAACACTGCGCTTGCACATAGTAGGCACTCAGGAATGTGCCTAATCAGCTAATATATGAACACACTGACTCATTCGGGGCCCATAAAAACCCTGAGGTAGGCATTTCATCGACTTGAGGAAGCTGGGCGTTGGGGTGGCTCGCCTGCCCAAGGTCCAGGGCGAGGGGAGGAGCAGGCTCCAAGTTCTGAGCGGGGGTCTCTGCCCTTGTGAAAAGGCAGGCGCGGGGCCGGACTGTGCGGCGGGAAGCACACACACTCCGGACTGTGAGCCCGGAGTCCACGGCTGCAGGAGCAAACCCGCCACGACACGGCTCGCCAGGAGAACTAAGCCACGCCCGCCCGACTCCCTACGAGTGAAGATCACAATCTGCTGCATATGCATGAGGGGACCACGGGCCCGTGATTTGGGGCTCCCCAGCCTTCGCCTGATTAAAAATTCTCCGGTCCCGAAGAACCCGGCACCCCATAATTTCTTAAAAGTACATAGGAGTCCTTCAAAGAGTTGTCTGTGGCGGAAATTTGGGGAGGGCCCGGCGAAGGTGGTCTCATGTGGGGCCATAGGATCAGGCGTCCGCTGTGGGGAGCTCGATCCCGCGAGGGGTCCTCGTCCGGCTCGACTAGAAGACGAAGGGGGCGTCTCCCCAGCTTCTGCGGCGTTGGTGGAGAGCTGAGGTGGAGGCAGGCTGCGGCAGCGACGGCGACGGTGGCGGCGGCGCCATGGCAGGGCTCGCAGGTACCGTGGCGTCAGCCCGCGGGGAGCGAAATGAGAGGCCCTCCTTGTGGCCGCGCCGCCATGTTGTCCCCTCGGGGTCACCTTAGGCGTCGCTGGGTCCCTCATTGGGTTTTCCTTCCGCGTGCCCGGGGGTGGGGGCACCCCTGTCCGGCGTCGGGTGGTTGCCCTGCTTCGCTCCGGCCTGAGCCTGGAGGGTCCCTTCCCGGCCCGAGGGTGGGTCAGCGGGCTCCTGGGTTCTCGCTCGGGCCTCCAAGGTCAGCGCCCTCCCGGGATGGGGCAGGCAGGACTGGGGAGAGCGACCACTACCTCTTCGCCCTGGGACCCAGGCAGGGGGCCAACTTGAGGGGGGCCTGTCACTCTTTCCCCGCCACTTCAGTTGCCTTTTTTTTTTTTTTTTTAATCAGAAGGGGCATGGGGTGGGCGAGGCCCCCGGGTCCCGCTTTGGTGTCGGGTGGTAGGTGGACGCTTTGCTTCGGGTCGCGCGGGTGCTTCTCATCCCTCTAACTTCACATCAAGTCTGGACGTTCGTTCCCTTTCTTCCAGTGCATGGGGAGTGGCCCTCAAGGGCAGCTGAAGGAACGGAATGCCTGGCACACTCCTGGCCTGGAAAGGAAGAATGGGGGGATGGGGACCGTTGCTTTTCCCTTCCTCCTTCCAGACTGGCTTCGGCTTCCTTCCAGGCCTTTTCCATAATAAACGCTGGGAAACTGGGGTCTGCCCTAGGAAAGAATCTGCCTTTCTGTTTATAGGTTCGGATCGTCTTTTGTCCCTTTCAGGGAACTGGTGTGTTGGGGACGGCTTCTCCGCCCTGCCTGACACGGTCCAGCCATCCTGTCAGCCTTCTGGACGGCAACACCAAAGCCAGGACCAAAAAAAAAAAAAGTTTCCGATTCAGTGCTACCGCCAAGTGTTCGATCTTATTTGTTTTAAATCAGAGATTAATTGACGGCAAGCAAATCTCTTAGAAGGCTCATTGCTGGAAACCTGTTCAATTTCCAGTGACTAGATCAATTCTGTATCTGAAGTTGGTCTTCTTAGAATTGCTGCCAAAAGAGTGAAAGCTTTTTTTTTTTCCCCCTTCTGTAATATGTTTTTTCAAAGAGGAATCCAGCTTAGGCTGTCCTTTTTTGTTGTTGTTTGTTTTTGTTCTCCTGTCTTTGACATACATGCATTCCATTTCAGACCTGTCACTGTGTGATATACCAAAGGCCATGTGTTGCCTGCCACTCTGACTTCCTGCTCTCAGAATACTCAGGAATCTGGATCCTGTAGGAGGGGAAGTGGGGAGAATAAAGGGGACCATTCTCAGAAGAGATAGTAACGGGTCTCAGGGGCATATGGAGAAAGAGGTCACCCCAGAAAAAGAGACTGTTTTTATACTAGTGTGTGCACATATGTGTACACACATGTAAATCTCTGGAGGGAATTAAATGCATATTCAGACTCTCCCCCTGGGGTGTTTGTTTCTGAGGAGAAACAAGTTTGAAAATAGAATCTAATAAATCGCTTACAGCACAATTGCTCCCCCATCTAGCCATGTGTACTAAACTGTTGTTGGTTCTATAGTTGAAACTCAAGAAACTTGTCCCTTCTCTAGCCTTCCCCCCATAACAGCTATTCTTCCTTCAGTCACAACTCAGGTGCTTCAAAGATAGAGGTATCAAGTGTCACATAGCACCCACACTCTTGAAGTTTTGGTACCATCCCCCAGGATGTCCCAACTTCACCTTGTTGGTCTAAGAAAACTTGACATCCTTTTCAGGTATTCGACCCAAGGTGTGGGACTCTGACCTGTTGCTGGCGTCCCACGAAGCCCTTCCGATCTCACAATTCTCTTTTCTTGGCCTTGTAGGGACAAAGTTGGGAGGTGGGGGGTTAGGGAGGAATGGTTTAGGGAAAGGGTACATTTAGCTTTATGTACTCAGGGCTTTGCAATAAAACCAAATATCCTTTTGCTCTGTGAGAATAAAATTTTTTTATGATATATCTTGTGAAAAACATTTTATAAACAAGATGTGTTTGGATCAGACTTCTAGTCATTGCATGGCGATGGAAAGTCAATGCATTCCTTTTGTCCTCTAGTTGGTTAAATTTGCTGGTTAAGTTTGAGAGTGGGGACAAAAGGGATGCAGCCCACCAGGGCAGTCCTTGCCCAGAATCTATCATCTTAGTACATACACTCCGAGCCCTGCTGAAAGATGGATGGAGGAAAGGGCTTTGCCAAGATCATCTGGAAAGCCCTGGGGTTACCGGCAGTACCCTGCCTTCTGGAGGGGAGGGGCACAGGAAATGCTATGTCCAGAGTTGACAGGCCCTTCCATACTGCTTTGGATTCTTTCTGTGAACTCAGCTGTTGTCTAACTTGAACTGAGGTTAGAGCTTCTGGGGCAGTGGGGCAGTAGCACACCCCGAAGGCTGTGAGGGAAGGGTCAGCCTTCATTGAGAACACATGTTGAAATATGTGCCTGGTTCCTTGGGTTTAGTGTGGAAAAACCACGGAAGCTCCTTGTCTTGAGGCCGGTTAAAATATAGGCTTCAGGAGGGAGGAGGTGTGGGCCTTGCCTGCTAAAGAGTCACCCTTGGATAAGAGGAGACCTGCTTTACCTTCAGGCCATGGTAGTAGATATAGCCACCCAGTTAAGGAAGATAGAGTCTATCATTGCCATCCCACCTGAGTCCCGATTGCTGCTTTGGCAATATGTTTCTAATGTATGTGGGTCGACAGGATCTTAGAGGAACTCTTCCAGAGGGGAACTAAACATGAGGGGTGAGAGGGACCTGGCTGGGTGCCCTAGGCTGATTTAATTGATGGCTAAGCCAAGACCAGACCAAGATCCCACACAGTTCTCTGATGCTGAGTGAAGTTATAGGGTCTTCAGAGATGCTGGTGATTGGACCGAGGAATATAAGAGACTTGTTTAGGGAAGGGAAACATCAGATTCAAGAGGGCGAGGTGCTTTGTGCTCCAGCATGTTTGTAACAACTGTGACTAAGGGATTTGAGGAAGTGGCAGAAGAGATTTATGGCCTTCCAACTCCCTCCCTTGGTGCTGACCCAGGAACAGGTGTGTAGTGACAGGAATGGATAAAACTAGAGATGAGGCTGAACAGGTGGTGGGGCCAGTTGGTGAGGCAGTCAGCTGACCAACTGAGTCAGTAAAAGGAATCCTGACTCTCTGAGGAGTGAGGGGAGCAGAGCAGCTAGCCCACCCGTCCTGGTTGATGGCAGGGAAGAGTCCAGGGCCAGGGACCTGGTAAGCAACCCTTAGGGATAGAGAGGCCAATGCTGGGGGTGGGGGGGGGTGGGGCTGGGAACCCGGCAATGGGAAGAGAGAGTAGGGGAGAGGTTTCTGGAGTGGGGTTGGAGGTGGGGAGACCCTAGGGAATATCAAGGTTAGGATGGACGGCCTTGGAACATTAAGCTGGGGGAAGGAGGCCCCATACCACACCTCATATCCCATCCTCATTGCCTAAGCCAGGGTCCACCCTGCCCAGTTCCCACCTTGCCCAGTGCTTATTTCCTTGGGGCCCCTGAATAGAGACTGGAGTGTAGCTTTGTGTCTGAAATCATCCCCTTGGGCCTCAGTACCCCATTTTGAGTGTTACTCCCACTTTTTCCCCCTTCTCCCAAAGTGATATCCTGTGGTGGGCTCTTATTCCAGCACCGCAGGTGAAGGCTCCCACCCCTCTGGGGAGGGGGAAGTGGTCCCTTATTCTGGGACCACAAGTAAAGATGTCAACTTTCCTCTTTGGGGAGGGGCATAGTCCTTTATCTCAGGACAGTGGGCCCACACCACAGTGGGCACATTGGCCCAGCCTTAGCAAAGTGTGTACCCCCCGCAAAATAAGCCACAAGAGACATCTTTTGGTGCGCCTCCACCGACCCGCAGGGTCCTAGGACACTGTGCGAGTCGGGGGAGGTACTGTTTTTTTATTTTTTGTAGAGGCGGTCCCTGTCCTCCAGGAGCTTACAATCTAGCTGGGGAGACACAACTAACGCACACTTAAACAATCAGTACAATTAGCGATTATCACAATATTGACCACAACTGCGTGAGACCTGGGAAAGCAAGATCAGTGAGGGGCAGGGGGCTCGGAGAATAGTTTAGTACAAAGATGGGATTCTTTTATTGGTTTTACAGGTCCAAATTAAGTGACACATTTTGTGGGGATAGGGTGGGCTTGGGAATCAGTGAGGAGAAAAGAGGAATGGAGGGAGCAGAGGCAGCAGGGCTGGAATGCTCGCCGGGGCACACTGTAGGCAAGGGACGGTGACAGGGCCCCACTCTGTTTCTTAACCCCCCTCCTTCACTGCCCATGCCCTCCAGTCCCGCCACTGGCAACACAGTTGGCGCCTCCTCTGCTGCATTGAGATTCAGGGCTTCAGCTGGTGCTGTTGGAATGTCCATTCTGCTGGCTGGTGTGGTGTTTGGATCTCCTTGGTGGGGCCTGTTGGCATGGCCGCAGCTCGGGGGCTTGGATAGTGCTGTCCCGACTTGGTCCAGATCAGAATGAGATGTCTACGCCCAGATCTCGGGGGTCTGCTCCCCCCACCCCTCTCAATCCCCACCCCACCTGCAGAGGGGCAGGTGCAAATGGGTTGGGAAGGGATCTAGTATTGTCAAAATTGCCGGTGCTGCTTCTCCGGGGGCCTACCAGCCCCTCACTGACCTTGGCAAGTGCTCCTCTGGCGAGGGAGCACAGGGGACCCCCCATTCCTGCGCGGCGCTGGCTCCCATGCTGGTTGAGCTGCACAGGAGCACCTGATGATACGGCCGCCCAGGGCTGGGAGCTGCGGCCTCAGTTGGGGGCTCGCTGCCGGCGCTCCCCCAGCACCTGCCGCCCGGTCCGGGACACCGTGTACGCCAGCTTCTGCAGGGAGTACCTGAACACCTGTGGTGAGAGACCCAGGATCCACCCTTAATAGAGGGCACCCGCAGTGTGTTTGGTGCTGCCGTGCCCACCCGCGCCCCACCCCCTGCCCCGCCCGCCTGCCCAGCATAGGCTGGAGAGGCGGGCGCGGGCGCAGCTTGTCCACGAGTCAGGGCAGCTGGAGCTTTTCCAACTGTGCTGAGAGCTGCATGGCGGCAAGCTGATTGGACCCACAACTTAGGTATACCTCACTTCTCGCAATGGGCTGTGTCCCTGGAGGATTTCGAAAAGCGAATCCTACCCAGTAAATGCAGCATTCCAGGAACACCTTGAAGGAAATATGCGATTCCTTTGGCAAAAGATTCCTTTAGCAGGGAATTCTTCCTGCAAAGGGAGCTTTTCGGGTAAATGATTTTATAGGCAAAGCGCTTTTTTTTTTCAATTTATTTTATGCAAAGCACTTTTGCCTTTTTTTTTTTTCCAACAAAGTGATTTGTCCTTTTTTGGAAGCACTTTTTTCCCCTTCCATTTTTTTCGGCGAAGGGCTTTTTCCTCTAATTGTTTTATTCAAAGTGTTTTTGTCCGATTCATTTGTTTTTTCTGTTAGCTCCTTTGTCTGATTTTTTTTCTGCAATGCGCTTTTTATCTAATGCTTTTTTTCTACCAAATGCTTTTGAACGATTTTTTTTTCCTGCAATGCGCGTTTTCCTCTATTTTTCCCTTTAGTTACTTTTTCTCTCTTTTGGTGTTTCCTTTTGTGAAGTGATTTTTTTTTCCCCTGAGAAGTGCCTTTTTCTAACTTGCTTTTTGTCCCAACCCTGCAAGCGCAAATATATATATATGTGCACATATATATGTGTGTGTTTATGTGTATTTTTTAAAGAAAATTTCCCCGCAATGCGCAATTTTTTTAAGACGGAATTTCTTTGCTAGGCGAGCGATAAAGTCTTGAAACATACAAGCGCCCCGCCTCCCTCCTCGGGTCGAGTCTGGGTGTAGCGGGTTTCTCTTACCACGTAGGTCTCTAAAAGCCTCAGCGATCGTCCGCCTCGCCCGAGTCTTTGTTCCCAGCTGGGCGCGGGCGCACTGGGAAGGGTCTGCTCGAGGAGGTGGGCACAGGGAACCCGCGAGGGGCGCGCGGTGCCGCAGCGGCACTTGGGCGGACAGGGATCGCGGCAGTCGGGATAGGATGGGTTCGGGAGGCGGCAATCGCGACGCAGGGTTTGTGGGATCGGGATGCGCGCACCAGGAGCCCTCTTCGACCTGGAGTTCCCACACGCTTACCTGCAGCAGCACGCGGAAGATGTACCAGCCGATGATGAGCAGTTCAGCCGAGGCCGCTGCCACTGCCGCCATGGTTCCGAGAGTCCCGAGAGGGTAGTCGAGAGAGTAAGGGTTCGCCGAGATCTGCTGATCTCTCGGAGTCCGCTGTTGGGCGTACTGCCGCAGCGGTCGTGGCCGCGCCTTAAGTACCCTCCCGCCACCTAACTGCGCATGCGCGCTTGGGGGGGCTGTCCAAGAGGAGGGGTGGCGGGGGGCGCTCTTCATTCGCCAAGCGAGAAAAAAATAATCCATCTGCTCTTTTCACACTGACCCCCGCCTCCTGAGTCCCATCTTAGCCCCCTTCCAGAAGATTCCGCCATGCCCGCTTTTGAATTTCCGTGTAAAATGGAGGGGCGTCACAACTCTAGGTAGAGTAGAGGGCAAGGGTAGGGAATGCAAGCCTCCTGTTGTGGCGCCCCTCTCTCTAAGCTCTGGCCTGTAAATTTGAGCCCAATGTCCAGTGCTATGCCAGAACGTACCTCCCGCACTGGTGGAAAACCTTAAGTTATGGGAGGGGTCATCAGCCCGGTAGAGCAAAAAAAAAGATACTCCTTCCAGGAGTCATGGCATCGGAGGCTCCTGCTCAGCACTCTCCTAATATATAATGTCCTCTGGCTCATGGGAGTCCCAGAGCAAGAATCCTTCGGTGATTCTTAACATCTCGCTTTTTATGGTAGCGAGAAGATCGGTATCTGCAGCAGTGGCGGTGGCTACTGTGGGGACCCGGGCCAGGACACTGCACTCTTACCGCAAAAGCTATAGTGTCTACTCTGTGGGAGGGAAGAGAGAAGGATTGGCGCCCTTTGTGTGCGCGAAAGGAATGAGCTCTACCGAGAAGGGGTCGGAATGTGTTCGGAAGAGTTTTCTACAGGACAGATCATTTCAATCTCTGCCTTCCGCACCCCTCCCCCAGATCCTGGTAGGTCTGCCTCAGCTTGCTTGGGTCTTTGTATCCCTTGTTCCACAGGGCTGGAGCACTGAGTCCGATTTCTCTACAGCCGCCAAGGCTTAGGCTACCGTAGCTGGGTAGCTCCGTTTCATAGCGAAGCGAGTCCCTCGTCTGCGCTTGTCTTGTGCTTCCCTAGTTGAGCGTGGGTTTTGCGGGTTCCTCTCAGAGCACCAGCCTGAGAGGTTTCCTCCATGGAATGTTGCATTTGTACATGGGAAGACCAAAACCGGGTGTGCAGCGGGGCCCAGCGCCTGGTTGGCCTGCGGAAAGCACCTCTCTCCAACAAGCTACCTGGCATGGAGACTAACTGGCACTCACCCCTATATGGATAGGAAATTAATTTTGATTAAAAGCTCATGGAGGTCAGGTTCTGTACAATGCTAGCAGCAGATGGAGGCGTAATGATCCAAGGGAGTTCAGTTTGGTTGAAGTAGTATAGTGATTCTTTTCCCTACATCGACTTTCGAAGAAGAAGTTTGGTTTTGGCAAAATGACACTGGACTGTTTGAAAAAAACAAGACCAGCCCAGGCTGCCATCTTAAAATATTTGGTGCCCAGCCACTGCTGTAGCTTCCCAGACCAGAGCTTGCAAGGATCCATTGCCCACCCTCATACCGGTCCTGCAGTATGCTGCTGACTGCTTTAACTCACCATTCACTGGTTGCTCCAGCTCAGCATCCGTGCTGGGAGAGAGACTAGCTACAGAACCTTTCTTTACCACATGGGGGCACAGTATGGAACCCATGGAGGTCCTGTGGCAACCACAGGGCGGTATTTTGAGGTCTGGGCCCTCTGAGGACGGGCCGCAGCCCCAGGAGGCGATACATGATCTCTGCCGGGCAGGACCCAGGCAAAGCCAGTCCACTGTGCAGACCGTGCCAGAGCCCTCTAGGGGACCCCTCCCCAGTGGAAACCCCAGGGAGACACCTCAGGAGGCTTCCTGAACTGGTGGCTTGGAGAGGAGTAGAACTTCCTCGGGTGGGTGGGGAGGAAAGGGCATTCACATTTAACTGTTGTTAACCATGATCCATTTTCCCAAATAAGTATACATTCTGTTCCTGTTCTTTTTTTTTTTTTTTTTTTTTTTTTTGTCTGTCTGTCTGTTCTTTGTCTGTTTGTCTGTTGTGTTGACTTTTCTCTTCAGGATCCCTGCTGCCTTGGTGATCCCGGGCTGACAGCCAGAGAGCACAGCGGCTCAGCTCCTGGAGAGAGGGTTGAAGAAAGCGGAGGGCAGCCACCTGCGCCCGCTGGCTCCCATTAGGTCGGTTCCTGCAGCGGTGCCCGGCAGCCTTGGCGAAGGCCCTGCCCGGCAGAGATCATGTATTGCCTCCAGTGGCTGCTGCCCGTCCTCCTCATCCCCAAGCCCCTCAACCCCGCCCTGTGGTTCAGCCACTCCATGTTCATGGGCTTCTACCTGCTCAGCTTCCTCCTGGAGCGGAAGCCTTGCACAATTTGTGCCTTGGTTTTCCTGGCAGCTCTGTTCCTCATCTGCTATAGCTGCTGGGGAAACTGTTTCCTGTATCACTGCTCGGATTCCCCGCTTCCAGAATCAGCACATGACCCTGGTGTTGTGGGCACCTAACAGCTGCCCTGTTAGCTTTCTACGGAAGCCGAAGACGGGAGGGGAGGCATTGACATAGGTCATAAAGCATTGGAGTTTCAAATCCCGCAGCCCCGCGGGTGCCACATTCCTGACGGCGCCTTTTTGGCCTGTGATGTTTTATCCTTATAATGTGAATAATGGCACTGACCTGTGCTTTTATTGTAGAGTCCTATAGTCGTGGGTGGTCTTGTGATTGTGTGTGTTCTGTCCCCATCTGGGTCCCGGCTGGCAGGATGGCCTCTCCCCTCGCCTCATTACAGCGAGGAGTCTACATCCATCCTAGTCAACTGCCCTGGGCAGATAAAATGCCAGTCTCCTTGTCACCTCTGTGACCCCTCCTTGTCAGGGTCCCTCTCCTTCCCAGAATGTTACTGACACCTCAGTCCTTCTCCTGTTTTCCCTTTAGTTCTCTTCTACCCTTTCCTTTTTTTGGGAGCACCTGTTCAAGACAGGGCTCATTTTTGCACTTATCTCGAATTTGAAGAGATTGCTGATGCCCGAGAGCCTCGCTTTTTCATCTTCCTTCCCCTTTTCAGCAGGCTAGACAGAAATATGTCTTGACTGTTCATTGTCCACAAACCTCCAGTGTTTCCTCTGCTTCATTTTTAAGAGAGAAGCAACAGATAGAGGTTGTTCTTTCACCTGAGTGTCTGGGTTCCCGCTCCCCAGCCCAGCCTCGCTTCCTTTGCCCTTCCTTCCTGCCTTTCTCAGCATCCTGAGAGGGGGCCTCCTGTGTCTCCTGTGCATGCTCTGCAGGATGGAGGTATGGTGTGTTTGTGTAGAGCTAGTGGTCCCCTGCTGAGTGAATGGGAACATTCTTGTGTGTTTCATAGCAGCCGTGATCCCCTTGATAGGTGTTTGGATATTTTTTTTTTTTTTGTGTGTGTGTGTGTGTGTGTGTGTGTGTGTGTACGTGTAAATACATGTGTGTATTCCTTTTAAAGAAGCTTTACCGAATGTGTTCTGATTTTGAGGTTTAGCAGTAGCTAGCTGTATGTAGTAGGTACCGCTGCAGTTTTTATTTAGCATGGGGATTGCAGAGTGACCAGCACACTGGACTCCAAGGTGATTCATACAAGACACAGGGGAGCAGTGGCCATCGTCCTCCCTCCAGGAGCTTCTTCGTTCCTGCGCAAGTAGACTGTATGTTATGAAGAACACACAGGAAGACTTTGTGACTGTCACTTGCTTTTTTCTTTCTCTGCACTTCAGTAACAAGTGTTGGCAAACAAGACTTTCTCCTGGCCCCTGCCCACTGGGGATCAGCATGGTTGTCCTTCAAGTCGGAACCATTCCTTTCTCTTGCCTGAGGAGGGAGGGAAGCAGGCCAGGCAGAGGACAGAACTGGAGGCAGTCCATCTAGGGAATGGGACTGTGAGGCCACACTTGTGAAACATTTGGACTGCTGTTGTAGAGCTTTTATTTCTGGTGTGTTCGTTGCACAGCTGTTTGAAATGTTTAATAAAGCTTTATAAACTTTACTTTGTGTTTTAATGTGGCTGCAGTCCATTTGGGCCATGGTGTTGGATTTCTGAGTTGGTGGGGGGCAGGGGGAAACACCGAGGGGCTGAGTCCTTGGCGCCAGAGTACCTTAGCCTGAAAATTTGATCTGCTCTCTGGAGAGCAGATGGTGGAGCTGGGGGATGGGGAGCAGGGGCAGGCCAGGCGATGAACAGGAGGGAGTCTGAAAGTTTTCAGAGATGAGACATTTGCGTTTCTCAGCTCCCATGGCTTCCCGCCTGAAATTGTTTCCCTCCATAGGAGATTTGAGTAACTGATCCCTTGACAAACAACTTAAGACAGCTGGAGCTCTAATCATCAAGGATTTTTATGGTGCTGCTTTTGAAGTAAAAATAAAGTGAAACCCCTCATGGCATCTCAAGTGGAAAAATAAATAAGACTGGCGGTCCAACCAGCAGACTTAAGGTAGTGGCTAGAAGCAGGAGAGTGGTGCAGTTCCATGTTGGGGATGTGTACAGACTCCCATTGGCGACCGACCTTGAGACAGAGCAGGGAAGTTTGTCAGGGCCCTGAGGTGGACATCCACTCCTGACTCTGTTCTTACTCCCACGATCATAGGAGTGCTGCCTGCTCAAGGCATAGGGCTCTCACAAGGAATTACTGAGATAAGAATTGTGGAAGGGCTTTGGTAACTTCCTAGAAGTTACCTTTCTTACTTGGACTGTTAATATATTGCTATAAAGTTGTCTGCAGTTTTCTCCTGCTCTTTTAAGCCCCCCTCCCACATTGTTACTTTATTCCATTTTTCATTCCTAGCATTGCTTACCCAGGCTTTCCCTTGATCAAAACTTACCAAAAATTTATCTATTTTAGAGGTATTTTCAAAGAACCAAAATTTTAACCATCATATATGTTGGGTATTTTTCCTACCTGATTCATTGGTTCTTTTATCTATAACTTTTTTCTTTTCTGAGTTTCTGGATATATTGTGTGGTTCTGTAGTCTTGCAAGCTGAGGATTCATATATACAGAAAGAATGGTTTGTTCAACAAACATTGAGACCTTGTACTAGGCTTGCTGGGGATTTCAGGGGCAAGACCCAGGCCTGGCTCTCCAAGACCTCATGATTCTAGCCTAGTGGGAAGACTTAACAAAACAGACAATTGCAAATTCCAAAAACAAAACAAAACAAACGAAGGCTTTTGTGTCCTTACTCTCCTGTGGAGGCACCTGGGTGATAAATGAAGCCAAGATTATTGCTTATTTTGCTCTCCCTCAGAAAGCAGCTTTCTTTTTTAGGTCAAGCCCACTTAAGAGTCAAATAGGCTTCCCTCTGAAAGACTTGTGGCCCTTTCCAATAGGGTGCCTGCCTCCCACCTCTCCCACAGTGCCTGCCAAATCAGCATCCTGTCCGCCCAACAGTGCTTCTCACCTTGCCCAGCACCCCATCCTAGAAGACATGGTCCATGAGGGATCTTCCTGAAATGCCTTTGAGGAAGGGGCACCAGGCCTTAGAAAAACCACACTTTATAGCTGTTTGACACTGTAGCTCCTGGGACAGATGATTGCTCACAGGGTTCCTAGAAACCACAAGACACTGTAAGACCTAGGCCTGGACTTCTTTAGGAAGTCTCTTCCCTGCCATGGGCCTCAGTTTCCTTAGAGATAAAATTTGGTCTTTGGAACAAAGACAGTTTTCTCAGCCCTGATATCCTGGATCCAGGATCTTAGGGTCCTCCTGGATGCACTTGAGGAAGGTGGCTAAACTCTGAGCAGGTGGCAGGGGACCTTGGGGATAACCTGTATGTACTTTGTGCATTAGTCAACATACCCCTTAAACCTAAAGACTCCCTCTATCAGGAAGCTTTCCTGGATTTTTCCCTGGAGATTGCTTGCCTAGAGCACTCGGCTCAGCCTTCTGCTGGTGATAAGCAGACTTACTCTTCCTTAATGACTAGATTCCTGGCATGGCCCTTGAGGGCTCCTGCCTCAAAAGGAGGCCTGCATTTTTATTTATCCAGCTGCTATTTGTCAGAATCCCAGGCATGAAGAGGGCTTGAGGCTACAGGGTGGACAGTCCCTACCATTAGGGAGTCTTCCAGGAAAATGGGAGAAGGAATGACATTGAGCAAATAATCTGAGAGGTACACAACTGTGGACTGTGGCAGATGCTAGAAGAGAGTCTCAGAAGGGATCTGATGCAGACCTGGGAGGATTGACATTCAGACTGAGATCTGAAGATCAAGTGTAAATGTTTGAGCAGTGAAGTAATAAATGAGATGTTATTTCTTACCATCTAATCAAGCATCTCTGTGCTTGCAGATAAAGAGACTGGGCTGAGAGTAAAATTAAGGACGACCAGTATCTGGCTGCCCTAGAATCATAACCCAAAAGGCTTTTGGGGCAAAAGAGGTCAGTCTTTTACTAGAGTCTAAAGCTAGAGTACTAACTGATGGGAGATCTTAAAGGGAGGTCGCGGGGCTAAGGCTGAATTGCTGATGGCAGGCCCCAAAACTCAGCCCTGGGGACTCTTCAGTTTTCAGCTGACTGGGAACCATCACAGGGAACAATCACAAACAGGGATCTGAGGGAAGCTGGAAGGTGACACAATCAAACAGCATTTAAGGTGGGACACTCCAACTGGGCGCAGTGCAGCCTTTCAACGGGGAAGTAGCAGAGCTGTCGGCCGAGAAGGCCACTGACCAGACTGGCCAGACCACTGCGAATGAGAAAAAGTGGATGGAAGGAACAGCCATGTGTAGAAGGAAGGAGGCAATGAGAGAGGACAGCAGGAAAGCTAACTCCCACTGAATAGCAGCAGGAAAGGAGGCCAGAGAAGGTTGTCACCTGTGTCCAATCAGTTGGCACAATCAGAACCTAATCCCCTGGCACCTGGCAAAGCTCACAACCCACCCCACCAAAACAGGTAAAAAGGGCATTGTTCTGAAAAGAGGAGAGGGCAAGGAAGTGTCCTTGGCAACTGTTGGAAGATTAACCTGCCTCAACCCAGCACTGTCCTTCCCCAGTGTCTTCCCGAAAGCCCAAGGGAAAACTGACTTGGGAAGCATGACATATGTTGAGAGAAACTTCAGTTGTCCATTCAGTTGTCTGTCCAGTGAGGGAAAGCTGGCCAAGCAGCAGCGGAAGACTTGAGCCAGAAACTGTTCTTCCTTTGGGATAATGAGAAAGGGACTCCAACACTGGGTAGAGGGTAGACTTGGAGGACCAAAGAACCCTAGTGTGAGACTTCAGAGATCTCCACGCCTTATGCCCTGCCTTTGTGACCACACCTCCCTTAGCTTGTTTCATGGCTTGTAAAGTGGAGACCACAGGACCAACCTCAGCATCTGCCTCAAGGCAAAGTGCTGTTCCCTCTGTTCTGTGACCCCTCTGCCACCTTACTGTGCTCTGCTTCAGAATAGGACTGATTCTCTGAGTTTCCTGCTCATTTATTCATGTAAGGAGCATTGATCAGGCTTTTTGCCAAGCTCTGAGACATGAATGCAAAACAAGACCACACTGTCCTGGTGGAGCTTGGAGCTTCAGGGCAGGAGGCAGTCTTACAGGCAAGTGGCTACAGCACCTGCCGTCAGGGCTTGAGTGGAGTCAGAGAGGGAGGTTATTTGGGAGACCATTTTTCAGTAACTAGGTGTAAAATCCCTCAGTTATGTTTTTTAAAATATTTTTTAAGTCGTAGATGAACACAATACCTTTATTTTATTATTTTTATGTGGTGCTGAGGATCAAACCCAGTGCCTCATACATGCTGGGTGAATGCTGACCACTGAGCCACAACCCAACCCCCATGAATGATATTTTACATTCTCTGGAAGGACAGTATCCTATAGAGGAAGGAAAGACCAAGGCGTAGCTGTTTTCTGAGAGACCAAAGTCTGGGGTTCAAGCCCTAGCACAGCAGCCAGCCTGCTCAGTGACCCTCCATGGAGCTCCCTCTCTTAGAGAGTGATCTCTGCCTGTTTAAGAGTATTCCATCATGTAAGGATTGAACATGACCCTTCCCCAAAAAACTAATCCTCTGCGTGGTTCTGGCCTTTTACCTCTTTTCCTGGGCAGGTTGTGGACAGCCTCCACTTAGACAGCTCACCATCTCTGCCAAAGCTAAACCCCTGACAGTCCCCTGCCCCACACTGGTGTGGCAACCTCTGAGGAGAGGGCAGAGAAGCAGGTGATAAGACCCTGGGCTTGATTCCCACCCACTTCCCATGTGACTTTGTTCTCCTCTATTCATTCTCCAGACCTGTTTCCCCTTTTATAAGTCAAAGAGAGGACCAGACCAGGAAGTCTTAAAGTTTCCAAAGCCATCTTCTGTGAAGCATTGGTAACCTCTATCTTCGATACTTCAGTCTTAGAGATTATGTTTGAAAAAATATGTGTTTAGACAATCAAGTATTTAATCAAAGGATTTTGCATTGAAGAATAAGCTTTTTTAAATTTCTAGCTATAGTACAGTCAAGAATGTTAGCTTACAACCAAGGCAGACACTGAAAAACAAAGTCCTGCATTGGTTCCCTGTTGCCTGTGGTCCCTGCTCCTTAATTTGGTCCTTAAGGCCCTGCACAGCCCTTAGAGATAGGGCTTTTAGTCTTTGTCCTTTGACTAGGCACAGAAGCTGCCTGACCAGGCCTGGCATGGTACTTGTTGGTTGGCCAGTCCCATGGGTAGATAGATGGATCCCCCCCAATCTATTGCCAGATTCCCTAAAGAATGGGTGGCCTGATCATTCTTTTTTTAAAAATTATTATCTTTTAGAGAGAGAGAGAGAGAGAGAGAGAGAGAGAGAGAGAGAGAAGAGAGACAATTTTTTTAATATTTATTTTTCAGTTTTTGGTGGACACATCTTTATTTTATTATGTGGTGCTGAGGATCAAACCCAGTGCCCCGTGCATGCCAGGTGAGCGCGTTACCGCTTGAGCCACATCCCCATCCCCAGCCTGATCATTCTTACATGGAAGGAAATTGCCTCCCAAGTCTCCTTTTGGCACTCTGAAGTGACAGAGAT